TTAATAAATTCAATATATTGTCAAGAGAACGTTGTTTAAAAAGCAAATGTCTTTCCAAGTTGAAAACATAGAAATACAAATCAAAAACATAAAATACAGGCACATCAATTAAAAGAACAAATATCCTCAAAAGGGCATCTATGTAACTGTCTTGAATATAAATTAAACTTAAATTAAACACAATAGTTCTCAGTTAAATAAATAATCAATTTGGTAATAATAATTACTATAATTCTAATACATAATGAGAAATACTCAAGTATGACTTAAGTTGAGTAGTTTATATGCTACAACTAAATAATATTTATGTACACACATTAATATTATTTTACATAGTACATAATTTTATGCTATACTTAAACATAGGCTTTAGTAATACACTTTAGTAGAGTGCAAAATACTATATATAAATTTACACACTACATTTAGATTAAATATATATATAGTATTACTAGAAAACAGGGTTTAATGTTTAAAATTAGAAGTTTTGGAGCTATAGAATCCCGTCAGGAAAGCTGAACAAAAATCAAAATAAGGGAAAAAAATTAAATTAAATTAAATGAATATAAATAAAAAAATAATAACTAGGTTTATTCAAATTAGTGACAAATATTTAAATTATTATTATTCGTGTTATTTGGGGCTCAGGCTACAATTGTAATTTTACTCAAAAGCTGAGAATTAGAAATTATTTGTCAATTCTTATTACAACCCTTTTATTTACAGTTTTCTCTAATAACATTAAATTTTATAAATACCTGAATAAGTAAGCGTAATACCTGAATGTTTCCCAAATTACGAACTGTTTCAAACTACGATTTATCATAGCAATGTTCAATTTATTCATCAATATATTATTTAACTCAATTAGCTATAATTTTTAATGTAAATTAGTTTAATTAATAGCAAAATAACTAGTTCCTGCTTTGAGTTCTCAACTGTTATCTTTCAGTTAGAAGTTCATTAACGGGTCTTCTCTGGATGCTTTCACAAGTATTTTCATATTGACCTTTGTTTTGATGTATATTCAAAATTCAATCACGCCATGAAATTAAACTGTCCATTTCCTGCTCTAAAACAGACATTTTGTCACTTTAGAGGGCCCTGATATTTAGGATAAATATCAAAACTATAATTTACTTCACTGTTATGATATGCATGAAACTCTTTATAAGCTTGCAAACTCAAAGAAGAATATCCAAAATTCTTCAAATAAGCATTTCAACATAGCACGATACCGACATTTTCTTTCTTTAGTTTTTCTCACCAAAGCTAACCAAAATATAAATGGAATTCTATGATATAAGAGCATCAAATGTGAACAGAAATGACAAACATTAGTATTAAGTTACTTAAGGGGACTCATACAGCTTAAAACCCATAAGATGTCCGAATAGGTGACTGTTGCAAGAATTGGGATAACTTATTTATTTTATAAGCAATTACTACCAACTTTTTACAGCTGACTACATAATATAGCTGCTTTCTGAAATAGTAATCAGAAAGTTTGTGTTGCCGCAAATATTTTTATAATTTAATCCGCTTTGTGACAACATTTTTCGTCATGTTTCCAACTTGCGTGCGCAGTTTAAAACATTCTGTTTCATAATTTAATTCCATATTTAATATATAGCTTTTATAACATTTGAAAACTACTGTGAACCTAAAATTCTAAAAATTTCATGTTAAATTTTTATTTTATTTTGAGTTTATAAAATGTATTTTATTAACAAAATAAAAATTATTAAAATATTAATTTTTATTCCATAAAATTTTTCAGTATTAAAGTATTCATCAGATTGTTGGTTCAGTTAGAAAATAGTGCCCATTATAAAGAATTCCATCCAATTTCAAATATGTACCATTTGCCATTTTAAAAATATCATGCGCGCAAGGGGGAAACAAGGCGAAATATTTTGTCACAAACAGGATTAAATTACAAAAATATTTGTGGCATCACAAACTTTCTGGTTACTAGTTTCCAAAGCAGCTATATTATGTAGTCAGCTGTAAGAAGTTGGAAGTAATTGCTTTTAAAATAAATAAAATATCCCAACTCGTGCAACAGTTCACATGTTAGAAGATCATGAGGGGTTTAAGGTGTATGAGTCCCCTTAAGGTACACTGCGCAAAAAAAAGGGGGGAGACAATTCTATATCTCTCGTTCTACTAGGCCGATTGACGAAATTCAATTTGCTTTTTTCATGTCTCGAAAGCGCGACTTAGAATATGTATTAGATTTATACATAGCGTTGTTCTAATATAGGTATTTGGAGACAAAATCTGGCTTTTACTGAAATGGCATGCCAATTTTATTCCATATTTCAATTCTACGGCTCAAATGATGCCAAACTGCCAAGTTTTGTAAAAACTGCTCGAGTAGTTTTTAAAAAACTAGCTCTCAGAATTTTAGCTCCTCCATGTTAATTGGATTTGATGTTTATTTATTAATCTTTCGGTTTTTATTAAACTTACTCTCTTTTTTATTAAACTTCCAGAATTCAAAATTTAGGCTTAATCCAAATATAATTCGCACATTTTTTATGATTTATTTTTTAAATTTGTATTTTTAAAATATTCTTTATAAATTTTTGAAAAAAATTTGTAGTATATCTATAAAAGGTATAATACAAATTTTTAGGGAATTTTATAGGTTGAGAAGACCTATAAACTCTCAACATCATCTTAAAGTATATGTATTTCTACACATATCTGCAAAAATTTTAAGTTTTTAATTCAAAATACTTGAATTTACATTTTGGTGCATTTTGAAATTTGACGTATTATTTATTATCAACGATAATAACAAAAATGTGGTTTGCGCACTTTGTTACAATTATTTGAAAGAATGAGAAGATGGACCTTTTTTTCCACTCGTGAATCAATGACTATAAATTAAGAATTACTATAAATTAAGAATGCCGCCAAGGGAGTTATTCTTGCCGCAAACTGAAAAAACCGCGCCAAGATAAATTTCTGAATTTCTTCGTAAATTTGTCACAAAATTTTATAAAATTTAATATTTAGACATAGTTTGAGTCGTAGAATCGAAATATGGAAAAAATTGATATGTTACTTCAGAAAAAGTTCGATTTTGTGTCAAAATACCTACGTTAGAATAATGCTATATATAAATCTAATACATATCCCAAGTCGCGCTTTCGAAACATAAAAAACGCAGTTTGAATTTCGTCAATAGGCCTAGCAGAGCGGGGGATACAGAAGAGTCTCCTTTTTTATTTACTTAATTTTTTTCGCACTGCACATCATCATGGTATTTACTCATATAAATTAATGAAAGAAATATTTTTTTGATAAAAAATTAATATTAACTATTTATTATTATTTAACTTCATTAAAGTATTTGAAAATCTTCGGTTTCAAATTCAGTTCTTAGTAGAAAATCTCAAACAGTAGTAGGCTAAAAAATGTTTTTAATTGTTAGAAAATATATTTAAATCTATATTGACAAAGAAGCTCATTGCTCGATGAATAGGTTAATAATGTTTCCAATTTGAACATTTATTTGAATATTATTCATTCTCTAAACGGAATGAAATTATCAGTGATAAATCAAATCAAATCAATATTCCTCGGCGAATAAATTGTTTGCATCACAGCTCTATGAAATATCTTTTGAGGCTTTCTTCAGATATCAGCAGTTTTACTCATGTAGTCTAAATGTATGAACTTTCTCTTGCTATGGTTCATACACTTAGATGTATGAATCTAATGCTATGGTTATCTATGCTATGTTAATCTCTTGCTATGGTTTCTCTTGCCACTTCAGCAATTAATCACTTTTCAAAGAATATCGATTGTTCAGAAATCTAGAAAATGTGCTTTGAAAAAAAGCACAAATTCTTTTAAAGATTATCAGAATTCTATGTGATCTGATTCCTAGCTTATTCTCTGGTTTTAATCTAATAAGCAGATCAGAAAATGGTCAGGGAAATATACTGATCATTAATATATGATATATGAGTTTACTGAATTTTTTCAAGCTAACATAATGGCTTTCAGCGCTTTAAATCCCTCATAAGATTTAAAAAGCTGCTTACTTCGTTTACATAAATCTGAAGTGACAGAGTAAAAGGAAAAGAATTGCATTCAAAAATAAAGAAATCTATTTCTTTAAAGAATTGTTCAACCTTATGTATTAAACAATTAAAAAAACGAATATATTTAATATACTTTCAGTACACATTTCAAATATCAGCTTCAATATTTTTGTCAGTCTCAAAATGGCGGACATATAGTTTTACATAGGATTTTAGAACATGTACGGTCTTCAGTCTATAATCACTTGAAAATAAGTACATCTATCTAAATCAAAATCACGTGATCTAATAACGAGTCGAAAATAAAATCTAATACTCTAATAATTATAATCCAATAATCTTCAAAATAATAATTAAGGAAACTCACATTCTTTCTTTAATTCCATCTTCTGTTATGCAGCAAGATTACTAAATAAGCTTGAATAATTCAAAGATTTTACACCAGTACTTGATTTAGGTATGATACACAGATAAATCTAAAATGAAAATGGCATAATCCATTATTGTTCAGAATCAAATTAGCAACTAAATGTTTACAGGCAATATGTTTTTGAGAAATAAGATATTTATAATGGCGCAGCCATTTTCATCCGAACATACGTTTGAGTCAAAAATCAAACGATCCAAACAGATGCGGATGTTGCCACAATAGTCAAAACATAACTTCATAAAACAAACTACACAAAGCAGGAAATGGAAGTTTTATGTCCTTTTTCTTTCAAATTTTACTTTTTATTTAGATTCTTAATATTATGCTTAAAATACTTTATTTACTGGCGTGATTTATTTTATATTTTTGTTCGTTCAAATTAAATTTGAATACTAGGTCAAAATTACTTCGTTCTAGAAATTTTTAATCCTGCATTACCTAATTATATGGAATCTTTAACTAATTAGCCTAGAGGAAGCAAACGATAATTTTGTATTTAATTCCCTTAGCGAGGAGGAAGTATATTGCTCGAGCAGCCGAAGCTTTCTGTTTTCTGTGTTGTCAAATCAGGTAAGATTAAAATAAAACCCGAGTATTCTAAATGTGTTAACGTGAATTATAGCGCCGATTTTCTCACTCACTTATCATACAAATTCTGAATATGCGGAATATCATTTTTGTAAGATAAAATGACATTTAAAATGCTTTCGAATCTAATACAAATACGTATACATTAAATGAATGCAAAAGTGCCTAATTTTTAATTCCAGAAGTCTAAAAAAAATTATGCTGCAGGAAAAAATGATATTTTTCATATTAGAAGGTAAATTTATTTATTAGACGTAAGAAATTTTAAAAAACTCAATGCGAATAGAACTCCATGTTCGACCAATGAATGCTTTAATTAGGCATTTTTATAGTATGGGTTACATTACAATTATATAAATAAAATACCTATAGAAATGGCCTGCATGTATACACGTTTGATGGAATGAAGATTTTAACATACATTAGATTAACATACATATATCTATGTATGGATATGTGCAAGAGAAACACTAAATAAAAGAAATTACAGTTTATAATTTAAATTAATGAACATTATATTTACGATTCAGAAAACGTTGGAATTTCTTTTTTGGTAAAAGGTTTATTGAAATGTTCTATCTTATTTACTCCATCGAAACAAAATTGCAATAAATCTTTTGAATGTTTATTTCGAAAATATTCTATAAATACACATTAAAAGTGAGAAAAATGGATCAAATCAAATAAACTTCCATACTTTTTATTACAACGAATTATTACAGAATTCAAAGGCCTAAATATGGCATCATCTATAATTTAACGTACGTGATTAAAAATCTAAATTATATATCTACGAAGGAAATTTTAGTCTTTTATATGAAATCCTAATGCATTCTTAAAGTGTTGGGTCTCGTATTCCTTCAGTTATTATTGCTTCAAAAATCATGCGAGCATTCAACTTTTAGGTGCTTCTGGATAGCATAAATTAATAAAAATGTGGCAAGTGCTGCACCAGCTGATAAAAATATGACAACGGTCTAATTCAAAATCGTATATACATATTAATCAAGGTATAATAATTAAATAATTAAAATCGAAACCGGTGGTTAACGGTCTAACAGAAAATGCATGCATCAAAATTGGAACAAAAACAATGAAATGAAGTAAAAAATATAAAATCTGAATGGAGTTTTGTTTAACGTTTTGTGTGTTAACTTTATTTATTAAATATCATGTTTTTGCACTTAAAACATAAATTTCAGTTCAACAGCAATATCGTAAATAATTTTAAAATGAACATATCTTTAGAATTTCCGATACACAATCTACGATACACAGTTTACGATATACGAGCGCTGGAGATAAAAAAAAAAAAAAATTGTTTTCGTACAGTGTTGCCATTGCTCGCATTGAAATCATTGAAATTGTTAATCAAAAATTCCCTAAAGACTTGCAAAATCTGAAATAGATAATAAAACAAATTCCAAATTTGGGCTTCCAGATGCCCATATTCGGGTGGAGACGTACGTTATTCAAAATTGGATGGCTCTAGATATCGTTGTTTTAACACAATGCGAAAAACATACATACATACATTCATGCAGGTTCTTCATTATTTAATTTCTTTATATATAACACAGGTCGATAATATTTGGTGGCAACAGTTTGAAAACTGAAACCCCGTTTATAGTGAAATGCCACAAAATGCCAAAACGAAATTAATACTCCTTCTGGGCTAACGCTTTTTGGGCTAATAATATAATTAAATACAATAAAACAAATAGTTGAAAACTCTTTGGTCACTTTTAAGAAGCAGCCGAAATATTTTACATAAATGCACGTTTCTGAATTATACTTGTATGATTAGAAATTCAAGGTATAAATCAAAAGTAAGTGCCAAATAAAAAACTAATTAAATTTAAAAAATGTAAGGATATTAAACATGTTTGCAATACGGAAGCTAATTTAATTTTATCTTTTATTTGGCACTCACTTTTGATTTATTCTTTTAATTTATAATTATCCAGATTTATGTTCAAAATCGTGCTTCTCTTAAACGTTTTTGCTGCTTTTAGAAAAAGTTAAAAAACAAACTGTTTTCAGTTATTTGTTTTATTACATTTGATTATATTTTTAGCCCAGAAGGGCTATTAATGTCATTTTGTCATTTTGTGTTGATTCACTATAAACCAAGGAGGTTAGAATAGAAGGAGGGAGGGTTCGCCGTTTCCTCCACTATCGGGGAATGAAACTCCGCCGAACAAGAGGCGTCCATGTTTGTGACTTCAAAACATTGCATTACGGCAGTGACATGTACGTGTTCTAAGCTGTTCCGTGCATTTATTTTCCAGTAAAAATATGTTAAATTTATAATGAAATCCCTCGCTATTGTTGAATTTTTGTTTTAAAGTAATAAAGATGATATCCATAATTTACTATGTACAGCAAATTATTAAGAAATAGTTCGAAATCTAAATGCATGCGCATAACATTAAAGCCTTTAAAAAATGATGTTTCTGCATTTTTCACGAATTTGCTTAGGTTAGAAAATTAATCTTAATAAAATAAAACAGATTTATGTGAATTCATTGATTTCAGTTTATGCGCATTTCATATTTATTAATCTCAAAGAAACTGTCTTTAATTAAGTTGAATTACAGAAATACACCTGTATAAGTTTTTGGATACATCTTTCCACATGTTCAATTGTGTAAATATTTTACTTAATTTTATCACTATACTGCCCAGAAATTTGTAAGTTTATGCAAAAAATTTTTAACAACAGAACAGTTTATCTTAACTTAAAAAATGAATAATAATTAATATATAAAGAAACGCATTGCTTTATTTAACACTTTTACAATTAATAAAAATAGTAACAATTGATTTCTTACTTTTCATGAAAGTTATAAAACGAATTAACTAAAACGTTCAAATTATACAATTTAAATCCTACCATATAGCATTGTATCTTAAGGAACGAAGATACCAGCTATAAACAGAAACATTAAAATGTATTTAATATATTTTGATTATAGTTATATTAAATAACCTATTTTAAGTCCTTTTTTTTCACATCTGGAAAGAAAACCACATGACATTGTGATATTTTTTGACATAGTTGTCATATTACATAAAAAAAGAAAATTAATACTTACGTAAGAAAAATAATGCCCGGAATTTTTTTCGAGAATCTATTTGTGCATCTATATGCAATACAGACATGCTTCAAGAAGAAAAGAAAAAAATGTTGCAATGACAGACTTCCTTGCACGAGCCACGGTGATAACAGGAAGATGGCCGCCAAGCTTCACCGTTTCAGTTGAACCTTCCCTCCTTCTATTCTAACCTCCTTGCTATAAACGGCGTTTCACTTTCCAAATTGTTGCCACCCAATATTAGAGCCTTGCATTATTTAAAGAAATTAAATAATAAAGAATCTGCCTGAATGTGCGTATATTTCTCGCACCGTGAAAAAACAATGGCACTTAGAGGCATCAAATTTTGAATAACGTATCCTTTCGAATATGAGCATCTGGAAACCGAAATTTGGAATTTGTTTTATTATCTATTTCATATTTTGTAAACCTTTAACGAATTTTTGATTAAAAACCTCAACGATTTCGAAGCAAGGAATGGCAACACTGTACGAAAAAAAAATTTTATCTCCAGTGCGCCAGACTGTGTATCAAGAATCTAAAGATATACTCATTTTAAAATCATTTTGCGATATTACTGTTGAACTGAATTTTATGGTTTAAGTGGGAAAAACATGCTATTTAAAAACTAAAAATGTCACAAAAAACGTTAAGAAAACGCCCATTTGGGCGTAATATAAAATCTGAAATCTTTCATATTTTTATTATTTTTACAGAATTGTTCTGTTCTTGTTCCAGTTTTGATGTATGCTCTTCCTATTAGACACTGGTTTTGCTTTTAATTATTTAAATACTATATTTTGATTATTTAATTACTTTCACAACATATTTTTTTTCCTTTGAGAACATACAGACTCCCCGTGCACCACATATGTACAACACGGGGCTTACAGAAGTAAGTTAACTAGAACATTAAAGGTTACATGTATAAATAAACATTAAAAATTACATGCATGAATAAAGCAAACAAAAGCAGAGAACAGCAGTCTGGACTTCACGAAAACAGATAAGTTCACTGGCCAAGTCACTCCGAACATTTTCAAATCGTTCTGTAAGCATAATCTAGGGCCATCAAATGTAGGGCACGAGAAAATCAAATGTTCCACATCCTGAGGAACTCTTTTTGAACATTCACATAAATTGTTTGATCGTAGATTAAAACGAAAAAGATAACTTGCAAATTTACCGTGACCAGATAAAAACTGAGACACTTTAAAATTTAACGAGAGGAAAGACTCGGAATTCAGTCTATGGTAAATAGAAGGAAGGGACGTTTTGGTGACTTCAGCATTACAAGATGAAATGTATTCCTCATTCCACATAGCTAAAAGCTTTTTATAATGAAAGGACTTCCAATAACTCTTTGGAATGCTAATGTTGATAACAATGGGTAAATTTAAGGCATCTTTGGCTAAGAAATCAGATCTTTCATTTCCGTAGAAACCATGATGAGCACGCACATAAGCAAAGCAGATATCAATACCTCTAATTCTAAGTGAACTAACAGTTACTAGGGTTTCGGTAACTAATTTATCGCAGCTGGTAATACTTTTCAAACGTTGAAGAGAAGAAAGAGAATCAGAAAGAAATAAGGTACTTTGAGGATGTTGTCCCATGATCCTGGATCCATCTGACGGCAAGATAAATGCACAGAAGTTCTGCTTGAAAAACTGTACATTCATTCCGTATACGGTGTCTAAGAAAAAACAAATCTCGGAATGGCCTTCAAAAAGAACAAATGCAAGGCCAACCTTGTTGTTCATCTTGCTGCCATCTGTAAAGAAAACCATATGAAAACTTATTTCAGCAGTCTCTTTATAATCGCAGGAAATTTATGGGTTCTAAAGAAGCGGGATGAGGAAGATCAGTGAAGGGGACAATTCC